CCTGCCAGAAGTTTGCATGACTTTAGATGTCTATCCACAACCAAATTAATTATGACCTCGAAAGATTTCCCACACACCTTGCTAACTGCCTTCAGCACTCTCCACAATACAGCAAAGTCTTTTCTCAAAAGTCCGGGAAAGAATAATAGGTGATATACAAGAATTGACAAATTGTAAGAGTAAATGACGAGTAATCCCAAGAGCATTCAATCTCTTTATGTAGTAAGTCAGACGGAAAACTTTCTTCGATAACAATAAAACGTGAGAAGACCAAGAGAGATCAGAAGAAAATGTAACACCAAGATAATTGGTCTTCAACACTGCGTTTATCAAATAGTCTCCAATGGCACAAGCATTATGGGATCTTAAAATGGTGTTTAGATTCCGTTCATGTCTCATGCTAAACTTAACAGCTTGACATTACCATTACCAACAGACCAACAATCAATACGAGATAAAAACTCATTCACTTCTATTGGATGTAAAGAGGAAGAGATGGGCACACGTGCAGTGAGATCATCCGCATATTTCACAAAAGTGTTTTCTGTGGAAGACGGTAGATCATGCAGAAAAAAAGAGAAAACAATAAGTGTAAGAACAGCTCCTTGTGATACACCTTCATGAGACAGTAGAGACTCTGAATACTTTCCTCCAAATACAGTATACTGTTCCCTTCCATAGAGGTAGGGACATAGCCAGTTGGTTATCCAGCTGTCAGTGTTGACGCTGATTAACTTGTTAAGTCAACGTTGTCTTGATATAGAATAAAAAGTTGAGGTGTGGTCCAGAAAGACGCATCGAACATACTTTTTACCCTTTTCTAAGTTGAACACTATATTGTGATGCAGAAAAGCAACAGCATCTAAGATGCTTCGTTTGCATCTGTAGGTAAACTGATATGGATCAATATACTCTTCTATCGCAGGCTGAAGTGGAAGTAATAATAATTTTTCCATTGTTTTGAAGAAGTTATTGCAACAGGTCTAGATTTCACATTCTTATCACCAGATTCTTTCATGGGTACAGCGATTATCTTCATCTTTCTCCACATTTTCGGTATGAGATTAGATGAGAAGGATCAGTTAAAGATACTCGTGAATGAATAACATAGGATGTCAGCACATTAAAAAAAAAGGTTTGGGATACCATCAGTGCATTCAACAAATTGGTCATAGGCGGCACAATATTTCCACACAAGCGTATACACAAGGCTACATGGATCTCACCGGACCACACTACAGAGAACCAGATAGATAATATTTACATCAACAAAAAATTCCGAAGGACAATGGAAGATGTGAGAACCAGGAGAGGAGCTGACATAGCTTCAGATCACCACCTAGTTGTAGCCAACTTAAAACTGAAGCTAAAAAAGAACTGGACAAATGGACAAACAGCACTATAAAGGTTCAATACAGCCTCCCTTCGAGATACTGACAGACTCAATGAATTCAAGATAGCTCTCAACAACAGGTTCCAAGCCTTACAAGATCTACTGAAAGAAGAAGAAACTAGTATGGAGGACAACTGGAACGGCATCAAGGAAGCATTAACTTCAACGTGTCAAGAGGTTCTGGATCTAAAGAAATACCATCATAAGGAATGGATCTCTACAGAAACACTGGACAAGATCCAAGAAAGGAAGAACAAGAAAGCAGCAATAAACAACAGCCGAACACGAGCAGAGAAAGTTCAAGCACAAGCTGAATACACAGAAGCAAACAAGCAAGTGAAGAGGATCCTTAGAGCCGACAAGAAGAAATACGTGGAAGAACTAGCAAAGACGGCGGAAAGAGCTGCTAGAGAAGGAAATATGAAACAGCTTTACGATACAACGAAGAAACTAGCAGGGAAATACAGTAAACCAGAGAGACCGGTCAACCATAAAGAAGGCAAGTCAATCACCGAAATTCAACAACAGCCGAACAGATGGGTAGAATACTTCGAGGAACTCCTGAATAGGCCGGCTCCAATGAATCCACCGGACATCGAAGCGGCACACACAGATCTTCCCATAGACGTCAACTCACCAACGACGGAAGAAATCAGAATGACCGTCAGACAAATCAAGAACGGAAAAGCAGCAGGACCTGACAACATATCAGCTGAAGCACTGAAGTCAGACATCGAAGTAACTACAAACATGCTTTACCTTCTATTCAAAAAGATTTGGGAGGAGGAACAACTGCCGATGCACTGGAAAGAAGGGCACCTCGTCAAGATTTCAAAGGGAAGGTCTTCAACAGAGTGTTGCTTAACCGGATGAAAGATGCAGTAGACGCCCAACTTCGAGATCAACAATCTGGATTCCGTAAGGATCGGTCGTGCACAGACCAAATCGCAACACTACGGATCATCGTCGAACAATCAGTTGAGTGGAACTCGTCACTATACATCAACTTCATTGATTATGAAAAAGCATTCGACAGTATAGATAGGAGGACGTTATGGAAACTTATTCGACACTACGAAGTTCCTGAGAAGATTGTCAACATTATCCGGAACTCATACGACGGACTACAGTGCAAAGTCGTGCATGGAGGACAGCTGACAGATGCATTCCAAGTGAGGACCGGAGTCAGACAAGGCTGTTTACTCTCTCCCTTCCTCTTTTCTTTGGTGGTCGACTCGATTATGAGGGCCTCGACATCTGGAGGAAAACACGGAATACAATGGACAGCTCAGAATCAATTAGATGATTTGGACTTCGCAGATGACCCAGCCCTCCTATCACGTACACACGAACAGATGCAGTCAAAGACAGACAGTATGGCAGCAGTCTCTGCATCAGTAGGCCTCAGCATACACAAAGGGAAAACCAAGGTCCTCAAATTCAAAGCGGAAAACTACAATCCAATCACTCTTGATGGCGAAACTCTGGAAAATGTAGAGTCCTTCACCAACTTCCAGCTGAAGAAGAAATTAAAAAAAGACGATGGAACTGGATAGGACATACATTACGCAAATCGTCAAACTGCATCACGAGGCAAGCCCTAACTTGGAATCCTGAATGGAAGCAAAAAAGAGGAAGGCCAAAGAACACATTGCGTCGGATAATAGAAGCAGATATGAAAACGATGAATTACAACTGGATGGAGCTAGAAAGGATTGCCCAGGACAGGGTTGGATGGAGAATGCTGGTGAGCGGCCTATGCTCCTTCACGAGGAGTAACAGGCGTAAGTAAGTCGTATAAAATTATATTTCAGATTTCGGATATTTTCTTCTGAGTAACTCCTATATTTGACTTTCTTGGTTTGATGTAAGAGTGTACTCTTCCTGTGCTTTCCATATACTTCAGGTTGAACACGAATTATACAGTGATCCGAGCTGGATAATGGAGCACGTTTACGAGTCACATATATACCCACATCATAAATGAGCATCCAAACGGTTGGGAAAATCTACTACATTTTGGTAACCTAAAAACATAAGGAAGCTAAAGACACATGAATCGAAACCACCACATACAACTGAAAGTGAATCACTGAAGGCAGTAAAAGCGAACTCTGTGAATTCATCGGCGAAAACAGATGGTGCAGATAATCTGGTTGCTTCCATCAGTAGAACGAAAGTTACCCGCTGGCACGAAATTTGTGAGCCTTATTTCGAACATAAATATTAACTTTTACTTAGTTGTAAAAGTAGACCTTGTGATTATCTTTAATTTAAATTTTGTATATATATTTATGGATATTATTTTTTATCTCAAAGTACTCGCTTTGCAGTCATTATTTTCTCTGTTCATATTATTGAATATATTAGTCATATACCATAAGTCAAACTCAATCCAAACTGAAAGACTAGGGGATGGATGTAATTTGTCTGCGGTAGAGCTAGACACATTTATGACTAGGAAAATTCGATACTCAGAAATTGATCATAATGACTCTGTGTTGTGGTTTTCTCAATTAGAGCACTATTTTACGAGACAAAATATTAAATCTGAAAGAACTCGCCATCGAGATTTATTCTCCGTCCCCCTCCTTTAGTCGCCAAATAAGTCTGTGACTTAACTTTTATCCTACCAATACCGCAACCATACACTATTTTAAGATGAGAAGCAATGAACCGTCTTTTTATCTGATGGTCGAAGAACTCACAGGCTTTTCTAGAGAGAAACATTTAGTAATAGGTCGTCATCACGGCTTTTGCGTCACACCCAAGTCACCATGCAAGTCCGGGTTTTGGAATAGCTCGCGCATAATGTTACGTCGGGTAAGGCAAGAGAACTGTTTGATGACATGGCTTGAACATAAAAGTACATTACTTAAACGGTCCTTATAGCAAGTAATTTCCTACCGACGTAATTCTAAACTGTTCCCTAGACTGTCAAGCACAGGATTCATGAATGAAGGAGTTCGAAGATATATTTGACAGAGTTTGGATATGTCGGGAAGCATTTGATCCAAGTTGCTTGGTTGTTGTAGGAGATGTGTAGCATCCAGTCGTGGTATGGTACGGATGTGTGACCAAGCACCTTCAGTTAGGTGGGCCCAGTGAAACTAATGCGGTCAGCATAAAATGTCGAAAACTTATGGGCTGTTGATTCTTGGAATTTATTTACTGATATAGTGCTCTTGCTGAGTCGTCGGCTCACATCTTACTCTATTCCAGATTTCCTCATTTGCTCTACTTTGTACACTGCCTTACAGTCAAAAGTACTTTCAGATTAGACGAGAATCACTACACCGAACAATGTTAGGTAAACCATATGTTTTTATGTGAAACGAGTTTATGTACAGAGACCCCCAGCAATGGCCCGATTCATCGACTTTGCGTAAAATTTCGCGAAAATGGCACAAAACCACGAGATCTGTGTTACGCCGTCCTGTAAGCAAACGTCTATTATTCAGGGTATTGTAAGAACATTTTACGAAGTAATTACAATACATCATAATATTTTGTGACATGATTATGCATATTAAGCATGCATTTCATCACCACTCTTCAGCATTGTTTTAGTACGTTAAATAGTCACGGAACTAAAAGGGTTTAGTCCATACCACTTTTTCAAAAAGCAGATGATGCAGGTGAGTTGCCAAGGCTGCAGAATGTTGTTCGTGTTCCTGTTCGACCAGGCGACTGCTAATTATTTCTTCCATTCTAATTGTGTAAGGTATAATGAAAGAGACGATGAAGGAGTAGCAGCCAACAGCTCTCACACTAGGGTGACAAACTTGATGAGCGCCCACCATGAGTTCGCAAAAACTGTAATAAGATTATGGTGAAATTTTGGGGTAAAGCGCAAAAATCAGGAGAAATTTGGGAGAAGAACCTCAAATTCAAGGGGAATTCTGCGTCTTCCTCCGAAATTTCTCCCAATTTATGAAAACCTTTGGAGTTTTATTAGTGAAATAAGCCGAGTTTCTCAAAGTGTAATAAGATTCTGGGGAAATTTCGGGGAATTTCTCATGATCTGGGGAAATTTCGGGGTTTCTGTGCCAGTCCCTCAAAATTTACTACAGTGGCTTTCCAAAAATGGGGCAAATTTCCCCCAAAATCGGGAGATTGGATTAAAGAAATCATAGCTAACTGCTGACTTATTTATATAATCTGACATGCCCTAATTCAATAGACTTTGAAGGTAAACTTCTTTGGCACATTGCTGTGCGGCTTCTTTACTTACCGTGAATCTGAAGTGTACTGAGCGCATAATTTTCCGCGTATATTATTTTAAAGGAAAGGCTGAGAAATTATTCTAGACAACCATGTTTAATGATATCTTGAACAATGTTCTTTGAATTATGTACATTATAAACTGCGTCCCCTAGCGCAACAAATTTCGTGTCTCAATAAACAGTTATTCAAACCGTCGCCAACTATTGGAGAAGATTGTGTGCAACTTTGGGTGTACCAATACTTAGACTGATAATGAGAGATTTTGAAAGTTTCTGTACAGTGATGATAGTAACTTACTACGCAGAACTAGAGGACCCAAGCACAATAAAAAAACAACCTGCATTCAACTGCAATCCAAACAGAAACATTATTCATCTCCTTTGAAAGTCCGAAGTCGTGTGTTGTCTACACTCTACAGCTGCACTTATGGACGCGAAAAGTAGAATGGTTCATTCGGTTCGGCTGCTTGTTGGCTTTTCGTGAAAGGGCAGACATAAATGGGATTATATAATAAGTAGTACTATTCAATATAATGACCTCAGTAATTTAAGAAAGTATATTGCTTCTAAGTAATATACTTAATAAACCATGTTAAGGCTAGGGAGTATTTAGTTGTTCATTAGGAACTAACTAGGAAAAAACGTGAACACGATACATAGCAATATTTAGATAATTCGATACAATTCCTCTATTTGTCACGTGTTATCTTATTTTGCTATATGTAGGTTTGAAGGTTTGCATAAAACTCATAAAAACATGTAAAACGAAGCTATCTACTAATAATTAACGACATGAGGGGTTATAAATGCGAAACTGACCACTTACTTTCCAAACTAGAAAAAACAATTGACTGCTTTTCAACCTTTTTTAATCCTTACAAAGGTAAATACAATACCATGTAAGTAATGGTGGTGTGGATCTGTTGCCTGGAGAAAGACTTCTCGACCTTGAGTGTGCGGACGATATTGTCTTACTGTGCGATAATGCCCAAGGCATGCAATCAGCACTTAATCAGTTGGCAATCAGTGTCCGTAGGTATGGTATGTGCTTTGCACCTTCGAAGTGCAAAGTACTTCTACAAGACTGGCAGGATTCCAATCCTGTACTCACCCTAGATGGTGAGCAGATAGACGTGGTCGAGAAGTTCGTGTATCTGGGTAGCTGCATAAGTGCTGGTGGGGGTGTGAGTGATGAGATCAATGCACGTATAGTGAAAGCCAGAGCGGCTTATGCCAATCTGGGCCACCTTTGGCGCCTTCGTGATGTTAGTCTGGCTGTAAAAGGTCGGATCTACAACGCGTCGGTGAGAGCAGTTTTGCTCTATGCTTGTGAAACCTGGCCTCTCCGAGTTGAGGACGTTAGACGACTCTCTGTGTTCGATCATCGCTGTCTCCGAAGGATTGCTGATATTCAGTGGCAACACCATGTCAGTAATGCAGAGGTTCGACATCGTGTGTTTGGGCACAGAGATGATAATTCAATTGGTGTCACCATCTTGAAACACCGACTTCGGTGGCTTGGACATGTTCTACGAATGTCGTCCCAGAGAATTCCACGTCGTGCATTATTTGCCGACTCTGGGACTGGTTGGAAAAAGCGGAGAGGTGGTCAGTGCATGACATGGTGTCGTGGTATGAAAGAAAGCTGCAAAGGACTGGCTTCTGTCGGTCCTTCACGACTCCCTGGTTGGGGTCTGAGAGATGGTGCTACACAGTGGCTAGAGACGTTATCAGATATGGCTCAGAATAGAAGCCAGTGGCGATCCTGCTGTAACCTTCTTTTACTTTCTTCATAAAAAGTGGTTGTGTCTCCCTTACTTGAAAGATTTCTTCTGATTGCAATAAGGATATAGTACATGAAGAAAGAATTAGTTCGTAGAAAGAAAGATATGAAGCGATTTTAATTTCTTAGTTTAGGGGAAGACAGAGAGTGCATACACCGACGCCATTGTGATCGATTCAGAATCATTTCACCAAGTCTCCAACTATTGGTTACGATAGTCACGCGGACTCCAATCAAGTAGTCTGAATCTACCAACATGGTTCAGACTAGAAGTTAGGGACTTCAAGCACTGATGCCACGTTTTGGTTTGGCCACCCTCAACTTTCTTCCAACCATCTCCAACACCGGTTAGCATTGCGCGTTGTGGTAAACGGTGTTCAGGCATACGTAACACGTGGCCGGACCATCTCAGTCGATGAAGATTCACAATCTCATCAACTGATTCACCGTTTCAGTAAAAGTAAGATAAAGCCATCTTATACTGGCCATCATTTCCAGTTGCCTTGGAAACGGCATCTAAAAAGTCAATGCTCCCTGCACAGTTCAAGGTTTCCAGTCATGATTGATCCAGTTTCCCGGAATAGCCTCCATTAATTATTTGACAAATTCAATCAAACGCAATATAGAGCTTAACACACGTAGATTTTGCTTAATCATCCATAATTTTTTGCTTCATACATAGTCAATGAAAAATCGCGTCACAAACTATTATGACTCCTGTATCACAAAACTGTGATCAACGTAATCACTTATAGTCTTTCAACTACATTTCAGAGTTCAGCAATCAGTGATGAGAACCTCCATACATGGTCCTATGTTGGGCGGTACAGAGACATAGAACTAGCTTTTTCTTTTATGGTTCTCATTTTTGGGAGTGGTTGTTCGTGTTTGGGTCTTATCGTTTCATATTCTTTTACTAGTTCTCGTGTAGTTTCGTATCTTTCATCTTCATGCAACGTATCGTCCTATATTTCATAGTTCTCGGTTCCAATTGTATTAAAATATTCTTTACTACCTGCACCATTTTGTTATACATTTCCTCGTCAATGATTATTTATAATTTATTTTCCATATTTTAGGTATCTTGGGGCCACAACGTTATCACATAATTTTCTGCTAACATTGTTAACCAGAAAACTGACTTCATTTATTGACCCCTCATTTTGAAGTTATGTTATGGTTTGTGCGGTTATTAATTTTTTAAACCTTTAAGAGAAGGAGCTTAGCACCGAGTAAATTAAATTGTACAAGAGAGTCGTCCAGTGCACCTGAGGTATCTGATTTTCATCTAATCTATTATTGTAGCCATCGCTGAAAAAGTACAGAACTGTTTTGCATGAAAAAAACGTTCCAGACCATTCTCCAATTGACTCCAACTCTTTCAGAAAGTCATCACCTGCATGCAACTACCCCGATTCTCACGTATGTAGAAATCGTTTCATTAAAAATCTTTTTAGGAAAATCTTATTCGCAATATATTATCAAAGCCTTTTCGAGTGCCAATTATTAACTATAATGGTAAGATTTCTACATAATACTTCTATTTTTAGGTAGTTCAAGTGATTTAAGGGTCTTGGGTGTTCGTCGTAATACATCTAGGGTTGCTTTACATGACCCTTTTGAAGAAGATGCCCTAGTTTTGTATTCACCTCCAGAAGTGACAGCCCATGACGCTCTTAAACAAGAATCGTAATCATAAATATAACCCACTAAATATTTTCTAGGACTAAGAAGCTTGTTCATGTCGTTGTCGACCCAATGTTATCGAAAATTCTTCGTCCTCATCAGCGTGAAGTAAGTTACTAACAATTAGTTTACCTTGTAAGTGGATGTTAAAGAAAATCATGCATTTTTTAACCAGACGTATTTGATGATTTCGTGAGTATATCTCCCCGTGCTTTAGTCAAGTTTTGCATTTATATTTTGTGAATTGCACGCGTATCTTTTGAGTAACCTATTATTGTTGATTTTATTGACAAATTCACACAAAATGTTTTGTTCCTGACTTGATAAGTTTACATTTTACTACAACACAAATTTCTACTTGTCAGTGGAAGCTGTTGCAAAGTACTGTTGCGAAAGTAAGCTCGATAAACGTTACAGTAAGATTATTCACTGGTGTTCTAACTTGGTTTGCATATTTCATCATTTGAGGAAATTAATTTTTTAGATTCATGTGTTTTCATTGTTCATTGTCTTCAAATATTACTTTATCATTATAGGGTGTCAAGTTTATGTATGATTGTGTTACTGGTGTACAAATACCTAACAATCATGGATGTATAATGGCAGACGAAATGGGTCTTGGTAAAACATTGCAATGTATCACATTAATCTGGACATTATTGGTTAGTGCAGTGTAATTGTTAATTCATACTTATCTGCTCTGATAATGTTTTAAGTTGCTGCATGCTAAATGCGACGACAACTCACTTAAATTGTTTAAATATATCTGAAGTAACAAGTTACAAAGTGTTTGCGTAGAAATTTTTAGAATTAATTTATTTGAAAACTAAAACAGTAAAGTCATTAAACATAATATCAAACCTAATGGTCATTATAAAGTTATTCTTTAGCATGTAACCTTGGATTAACCGGAAGCGATAAAGCTGGATGAAATCCAGTGAATATTTATCAATGTGTATTTTTTTAATCAGAACGGGTTTTCTTTACTGATTTTGTATAGTAAATATTTCTTAATATGAAGGGCATAATCTGATCTACTTTGTGTAACCTAGCAACAGTGAAAAATGAGTTATCCTTTAGCAATATAAGACGCTTATCTCTTAGCTATTGAGTTACAAGTTTAAACTCCATTCAGTCTTTAGTTTGGTCAACTGGGATAATATTCCTAGCTACCAAATATAGTACGGTCGTAAGTTGGCACGCGAATATAATATGTGTTCTGTTGATATTTGTTGAAATAAATGTCACGTTTCAGTATTCAAAGTTTGCATTAGATTACTTTTCTACCAACATTCTGTGTATTATAATAATGCTGTAGACGTAAGAGTAATCTTACAAAAACATTTTTCCAAATGTCCGTTGGTTTTCTCAAATACCAAACCTAACATAAAATTCATTTCTTCATGTCTCATGAATTCGCATTACACAAGACTAAAAATATATTGAAACAGGATGAAAAAGCTCGAGAGACAGCCCCGAAATTTGTTTTGAAATATGCTTGATATGCCATTGGTGAGTAGTCCGCTCTTCCTCTTAATGTTCTCACATGTAATTGCTCATTTTCCTGGTCAACCGATAAACTCCTGTTGATTGGCTTCACTTGGTTTGGTTTTGTGTTTTAAAAACTCATTAGATAATATTTTAGAACTCTACTGATAAGTTATTGGTGTGCTTAACTTTCCTTTGTTTTATAATTTCTCTTAGCGTCAAGGTCCGGAAGGTAAACCAATAATCGACAAGGCAGTAGTTGTTACGCCTAGTAGCTTACTAAGAAATTGGTACAACGAGTTTCAAAAGTGGTTACACGGGAAAATACATCCATTGGCTATTGATTCTGGGAGTAAGGAAGATATTGATAGCAAATTAGGTAAGATAATTCTCACTAGAACCAAGTAATAAATATTCATGAGAAAAGATCTTGATTTCAGATTGTCAGTATCTTCTATTTAACCTTTTAATTAGGGCATTTTTAAACTGTTACTGTTCGTATGGCCTTGTTTGTACATACATATTTTGGACTCTTAATAAATAACGTCTTTGTTAAGATGTATTTGATTATTATTTCCCTTCTGTTTTAATTAAAGTCAATGGCTTTGGGATTTAAACAATGTGCTTACAGTTCATTTTCGCATACCTGAATAAATGTATCTTGTCTCCTACTCAATATTAGTGAACGTTATCTGGGTATCGTAAACACTGATATTAACTTGATTTCTTTGGTTTTCTTACTTCTCAATTTATTTCAATAGCTGGTTTTCTTTCACAAGCCGGACGTCGAATTCCGTCGCCAATATTAATTATCTCTTATGAAACTTTTCGATTGCATGCTTCCGTTTTACACAAAGGTTCTGTGGGTCTGGTTCTCTGTGATGAGGTAGCTTACGTTATTTCGTGTTTTATTATCATAACTTTATATAACTGTAATTCTCTTGTTTAACTCTTAGATGATTATTTAGCATATGCTAGTAAAATCAGTCTAGAGTAACAACGGCTTAAAGCCAATGAAATAACGACTGATTTGTTTAAATGTTTGATTTTTATTTATGGATTGAAAAATGCAAAAGACTTACACATTCATATTTTAATTATGTCGTTCATTGAATAAAACTCTAAAATGATATAAATGGTGACAACTGAATGTCAGAGGCTCACTAACACTAAACATTATACAGCTGTTTTGTAGATTGAGTAAATACCAGGTGAATAGCCACTACAATAAAGAGTTTCCAGTTTGGTATTAAACAAAAAGAACTGACGTTATTTAATTCTGCTGGCTCATTGCCCTCCATATGCTAGGATTGTGGCTCATGATATTTTGTAAACATTTTTCCGTTTAAGAATTTCAAGTGCCACCGGTATAATCAGTTTGGTCCATTCAAGAAGAACCATCTCAAGTGTCGTCATAAAACTAATGCTAGAGGTAACGTTCTCGTCGACTGAATTTTCAGGAACTGATCTCCTACCAGGAGGTCCACTTATCGACTTAGAATACACAGATGATGTAGTCCTATTTGGTGAAGATGCTGAGAAAATACAGTCTTCTGGAAACACTGAGCAACAATACCAGGATGTCTGGGATGCTTTACTCACCCTCTAGATGCAAGATGTTGCTTCCGGACTGGCCTGAGTCAACACCTGAACTAAGGATAGGAAGTGAAGTTGTCGAACGCGTCGACAACTTCACTTATTTTGGAAGTCTGACCAGCCCAAACGCGTTGGTTTCTGACGAAATCTCAGCACGGATTCAGAAAGTTCGTTTGGGTTTTGTCAACTTATGTCATCTATGGCGAAGGCGAGATATCCATCTACAAATTAAGGGGCGCGAGTATACTGCTCAGCAGTTCGTTCTGTTTTACTTTGCGGCTGCGAAACGTCGTCACTAATGGTGGATGATATTCGTAAGTTACTAGTGTTTGATCACAGATGCCTTAGAAATATTGCTTGCAGCTGCTGGGATCACCGCATAAGTAATAGTGAGGTTAGATGTAGGGTATTAGTGAATAATGGTAAATCAATTGATGAGATTGTGAATCTTCATCGACTGAGATGGTCCGGCCACGTGTTACGTATGCCTTAACAACGTTTACCACAACGCGCAATGCTAACCGGTGTTGGAGATGGTTGGAAGAAAGTTGAGGGTGGCCAAACCAAAACGTGGCATCAGTGCTTGAAGTCCCTAACTTCTAGTGTGAGCCATGTTGGTAGGTGCAGACTACTTGATTGGAGTTTGCGTGACTATCGCAACCAATGATTGGACACTCTGGTTGACATGACTCTGAATCGATCACAATGGCATAGATGTATACACTCTCTGTCTTCCCTTAAACTAAGAGACTAAAATCGCTTTATATCTTTCTTTCTACGAACTGATTTTTTCTTCATGTACTATATTCTTGTATGCAATTTTTCTTTTATTTATTATCACTATTGAATTAAGTGATTCTATGAATTCGTTGTTGATCTTGTTGTGCTAATGAGGTATGGCAATTTGAACGTATGCATGTATGTGCCTGGTCCTACGTTGTAACTGACTGACTATAGAATACCCTTAATGCTTATGCTCGTACATAAATCAAAGGACTACGAGAAGATGAGGTATTCCGTCATTATGGGGTGACTGTAATGCTGCTTCATTAGGGAAAGATGATTGTGGCAATGCAGCTGACTGACTGACTAACTGTAGTAAACGAAAGACTGGTGGAGATAACTAATTCAATGTTTAGTGCAAAATTGAAGTGCTTTTGATAAAATAGGAAAACTATACACTGAATACATTATTTGCACATCTTCAATCGTACTTCACATGCTTTACATGATTCTTTCAGTTATGCTATTGTTACAGTTGCTCTCTGTTCCCTTCAATTCCGTCTTCTGGTACTCATTTCACTTCAGATTGCTACTACATATCTGTCCACATGTGTATCATACACCAGAGTATATCCAGATATAGATCATAAAATGGGATCGAGAGTGATTTTACCAAATTCCAGGTTGATTACAAAGAGAGAAGAAAGTATGTAAACTTATCTGTTAGTAATTTAGCTATGTCCATTCAGCTTTACTCTTCATCTGATATCACCTTAATTTGGATGTTCGCAAATCAAACCAACAGATAATGCTGCTGGAAAATTTCTTGCAGATATGTTACGACTAGCTGAAAAATGATCATATCTAATTTGTAGAAAAGTATTCGATGATATATTTTATAACATCAAACAAAATGATTTGGATTTGATGGGCTTGCTTTGGATCGATGAGATAAACATCTTTAATATCGTCCTTAGACTCTGTATGCTCTCAAGTAACCCCACAATCTAGCGATTCTGCTTTTTACGAACTCATTACTTTATTGCTTGCATCAAAAACACTCACCTGTTTTTTGGAATAAATTGGGCTACTCGGAGTTCGCTTAAGCTTCCTTTTTTAAACGAATACTAAATTTTGTGTTTCGTCCAAAGCGTCTAGTTCCTTATTCCTCAACACCTATTATTTATCATGATCTTAGTAAATTAGAATAACTTAGTTAATCAGATCTAAGTTGGGGGATGTTTTAGCATATCATTCAAATCACATATGTAATATTTTTCTATCTTTATTAGGAAGTTGCATTTCATTGATAGTTTTCTGTCGTAACGGTGTTAAATACTATATTAATGATTAATAATTATATTATACCATCATATATATATGCGCCTAAAACTATACACAACTCAGTTAATCCAACGACCAAATAGTTTTGATTCACTGATTAAAATTATGCTTCCAGGATGGCTCATTTAATCAATTAACCGTTTAGATAAATTTTTCACAATCACTTTCTCAAATTCACATTAGATATCTCCACAACCATGTTGATCTCGGAAGCAGTTGTTTGACTTACAAACAGCAGTATCGTTCAAGTTAGTATCAAAGTTCGAATTTTCAGTAGTTTGAATTCATCTACTGGTAGGTTGATTTTACATCATATCCGGGACAAAAATGTAGATTTTCTTCTAGTTAGATCTGAAAAGATATTCACTTGTAAACTGTCAACATCATACAGTTAGGTGTTTATTCTAACAGATTCTTACATTCTAATCATTAGTTGATGAGTGCCAAAAGGATGTAATATTCACTCATTACTTTAGCTTTGAACTCGGTACAAACAAAAAACATATACACCACGCTATAAAAGTAGGAGTAACGCCCGACCGTTTTTGCTACCTTGACGTGGTGGTCGGGCTTGCCTATCGTGATAAAGCAACCGAGCTATACTGGCTGGAACAACTGTTCCTCAAGGTCCTACCATGTCAGACAGGTCGGTTGAAGAGCAGTAAGAATAAAAGCAACAAACACAAGGTCCGAAGGCGAAGTAGTACTGCTGACTGTACAGAGGTGTGACAGCAGTAAGGTGTTTGATTCAGACAACCAGCATGACAGCGATGCTGCCTTCCCACAAGGAGGGGTGGGTTTAGAAAAGGTTGACCCTAGAAATGCACACCTCGCCTTATCCCACGGATATCCGTCTCCGGCGATAAGGTCTCAACAAGTACGGATTATTTATTTATTTATTTATTTGAGCACATAAATATTGGTACAAGAGAGCGCCAATATATATGCGCCACACGGAGCTAACAAGAAAATTACCCACAAAAAGGTCGTGTATGATCGACCTCAGGCAGTTGTCCCTTGGGCACTGCGGTCACACTCTCAGGTCACTAAGACCACCTCTAATCCAATTTCCTTTTCAGTTACCTCCAGAAGAACCCTTCCACGGTGTGGGCAACCGGGAAGTGATCGCCACCCTCATAACTCTAACAGCACTCAAGACCACTGTTGTAGCTGTAGGTGTAACGCAGAAATTGTTGACCATTGGTTCATAGTTTTTGTACCTACATGGCTATTGCAGATGTGGACGCTTTCCTACAAATTGTGCTTAATTACATTGTGAGCTTCTTTAAACCAGCAGTTTATTCAAGAGGTCTACTGTCTTCTACATGGCTCACTGAGCTAGTGAAACTTCAGTAGTATTTTATTACTTACGAAACCTTAAAATCGTTCTCCGATAATTAGTGAGAAAAAATGGATGCGCAAAATGATTTAACCACAGTCGTGGATGGTTTACTTTCAATAACTTGGGTTTCGTACGAGTTTGTGGCTTAGAATAATTGTTTAGTTGCTCTCTTTGCTGTTCAGTAGATTTATTTAGTTAAAGGAAAGTTTTCATCGTCAATTTTAATACTTCCTATACAGCATTTTACAGTTTATTTGTTTATTTAAACAAATTTTGGTACAAGGAGGCAACGAATATATATGATTCACCCTTCATTATTCGATTTATATGGGGGCTGTGACACACTCGGTTACCCAAACCTAAGCAGGTGGTTTTCTTAGGGGGCCACTTCCCGAGCCTTTGATCTGAAGGTCCAATCCACAAGTCAACGGAGCAACGTTGGGAGATGCAGTCCCGTGTTAGCCGGTGACCAACAATAGGTTCATACGTCATTTGTTTCCTTACGATCCTGGAGCCCATGTGCACCACTGGTTTGGAAACAGGGTTTTCCAACTCCCCTATGTGGGTACTTCGTATCCACCAACCCGGTTAAAGCGTGGGACATTCGCTTTTTGTCCTCTCAATTTCATAAAAAACAGCCCGTCCGCGAGAAGGCAATAAGTTGGACTTCCCTGTCAGTGACTGTATACGCGTGGTTATGTGAGAGTATTTAAAGAGGGCAAGTGAACTCTCCCCACCCTCAGTCATACCGGGTCATTTGTGGGCCAGTTTTTTGAAATAACTTGATTGGTTTATAAAACACTGGTATTCCACAAAATAATGCAGTCTTTCAGTCACCTGTTCAGAAGTAAGTTTTTTCTGTATAAGTTTTTTTGGTTCAAAGTTTGATTGCCATAGCCTAATATATCTTGTTCGGAAACCGACTTTTTGTCTGTTATTTCTTCTTTTTTTGAAAAAACGTAAGCTAGATTTTCTTGTAGGAATCATTTTTTTTTTCGAAATAATAAATCTAGATTTTTGTCATCGTTTCTATTTCACTTAAATAGGGCCATCGTTTAAAGAACTCTGAAAATCAAACATATCAAGCACTAGTTCAATTAAAATGTCCACGTCGTGTACTTCTTTCTGGGACACCAATTCAGAATGATTTACTGGAGTATTTCAGTCTAGTACACTTTGTCAATATGGGATTACTGGGTACAGCCAGTGAATTTAGACGTCGTTATGAAATACCCATTTTGCGTGGACGTGATGCAGATGCTACAAAGGAAGATCAAAAGAAAGGTGAAGAGATACTGCAGGAAGTATGTTTCTTAAAATTTTGTATTCCTACCTGTTCTTGTCCATGCTATGTGACGTTAATAATTTCATGGGAAAGCATTCACCAGTTTCAAGATTTAAGTTCGACATCTGAACATTCATTACACTCTGATTCAATAAATGTCAGTCAGTTATACACACTGTACTACCTAGTACACATGTGAATCGGTTCAAGCTGCTATATCATATTAGAATAGCGAGATGAAATTATCCAGATAAATCCCAGTGTGACAAAATTAGTTGCAACATCAGTAGTAGTAGTAGTATGGTGCATGTTACGGATATAAGTAGTATGTGTAACGACGATCGGAAGTGGAAGGCCTGTCAAAAATGGTTAAGAAGATTGAACTGAAGAACAGAGAAAGGGAAACAGAAAGGAATCAAGAAGTGAAGAATCATGAAGGATGTAAAAGACGATTGATGCAAGGTTAAAAAATGAAGTATTTATTGTCCTGTTTTCACATTTTACTAAAGAACTCTATAATCTTGCGTTATATAATAAATTGGTTATCCCCACCTGAATTCTCGTTAACTACAGTAGTAGCAGCAGGAAAGCTTACAATGATTTAACAAGAAACACTGGGTTCGTAAAGTAAAAAGTAAAATATAATTTTGAAACTTACGATCAAAGGGAAGATAAAGAGTGAATGCACCTAAGCCATTGGGAATGATTCTGAGTCATGTCACCTAAGGTTCCTAACCATTATTTACATTAATTACACGAACATCAACCAGTTAGTTGGAGGCCCCCCAAATGACCCGGTATGACTGAGGGTGGGGAGAGTTCACTTGCCCTCTTTAAATACTCTCACATAACCACGCGTATACAGTCACTGACAGGGAAGTCCAACTTATTGCCTTCTCGCGGACGGGCTGTTTTTTATGAAATTGAGAGGACAAAAAGCGAATGTCCCACGCTTTAACCGGGTTGGTGGATACGAAGTACCCACATAGGGGAGTTGGAAAACCCTGTTTCCAAACCAGTGGTGCACATGGGCTCCAGGATCGTAAGGAAACAAATGACGTATGAACCTATTGTTGGTCACCGGCTAACACGGGACTGCATCTCCCAACGTTGCTCCGTTGACTTGTGGATTGGACCTTCAGATCAAAGGCTTGGGAAGTGGCCCCCTAAGAAAACCACCTGCTTAGGTTTGGGTAACCGGGTGTGTCACAGCCCCCATATAAATCGAATAATGAAGGGTGAATCATATATATTCGTTGCCTCCTTGTATTAATGTTTGTTTTCAAATAAAATAAATAATAAATAAATAAATTAGTCGACGCTTACTTACATTGCTCAGTGCAACAGTCAATGTCTTGATGGACTTTTGTCATCTTTTAGTTTGGTAGGTTCTAATTTTCCGCTGACGTACTTAACAAGCAAACATTACGTAACGAGATAAAAAGTGGTTGGGCATACCTAATACATGTTCTAACCTCCTCTATCGATGTAAATTCATTACTTCATCCATTGATTTTCCATCCTTATCTATTACATTGAATGTATCCCTTAATATTGCTCACTTGATAGTCCGAATATACATGGGCAATGCTTCAAAGACATTTCTGTTTAAATAGGAGCTGTCAATGAACGCGCGTAGTGTGGAATTTTCTATGACATTTAGGTATTCACCTTGGATGCTACAAGACGTCATTAACAGACGGTGAAAGGTTTTCAAAAAGATCTTGGTTATTCAGCTAAGATACAATCACTTTAACCAGTAAAGGAAACAACAATTACAAATTAATACTATTATTCATTGTTAACTTAAACAAGCTTATATGATTAGTGGAATTGTGAGATAATATTATGAGATTAATGTTTAGAATAAATATGAGTTATATATGGTGAAAGAAATAATACTACAATTAGAAACTCTATCAGATGTTTAGTAAAAGACTGTGTTATTTATAAAGTTATATGGAATCAGTAAAAAATAATATAGTGGGGTGAGTGCTCGGAAGATTAATAGTAATGATAAACCAATAGTAATAATAATAATAATAATAGCACTTATATTACAAAGCAATTAGTCCCTTTGGTAAATTTGGATAGTGTAATAAGTGGACGAAGATTATCAGAGCTATGTGATTCATTAGCACAATATATTACGAACGACCTGATCACATATACTTGTTTGGAATATTTATATATAAAAATAAAAGGTCATCTAGACAAATGGAGGGTAAGAGGAGACGAAGATTATAAAGAAAATAATATGAAAATCTTGCCTACTTATTCTCCATCTCTGCATCGTCTTCGTGTAGTCAGTCTCATTTATTTTATCCCTTTAGTTTATTTTTTCTTCTTGCTGTTATGTTTTGTTACTTTTTCGCCTACTACGTTGTTTTGCTGAAATGCTAGCGAGTTTTTTGATTAAATTTCAACGGTAATTGTTGATTCATTCTCTTCTTAAAGACTCATAATCTCTAATACATAGTCCCCATCAACATTTCCTACTATGAATCTATATTTTACTTCATAACTTGAAATTCTAAGTTATGAATCGACTAGCATCGTATGTACTGGTGGTTTACTTAATTCCTTTATTTTTTTGAGTGTAAATTTTGCCTTCTTACTAACAGCACTTTTGGATACCTTTTTTCATTTGGCTTGACAATGTATCATTCATCTTTATTTATTTAATCGTCTTTAAACGTAGCCTTCAACCACTTGAACGTATCATCAATAATATTATAATTGTTACTTAACTCCTTTTGAAAAGCTTTTAGGTATTGTGACACGGTGTATTATCCGTCGGACTCAGGCTCTACTCACAAAATATTTACCTGTGAAAAGTATGTCAGTTTGTATCTTTTTACTTTTCCTTTTGCATTATTTTGTTGTCAGTGTATAAGAGTAATTTATTCTCTTACCATATTTAGCTTCTCTTGATTAAAGTTATTTTTCCGTGTACTTTTTCTAATTTACTATAAATCGATGTTAAATATTTTCTGAAGTATATGGCCACTTAGAGTAACGTTATGAGACCAAGTAGTTATTGGCAATAATGTGTGTATTTTTCTTACATCAGCTATTCAGTTGAGTCACTTATTTGTTCCCTATGGTAAAATATAGATTAATAATATAAGCTGAAATGAACACTTAACTCTCACTTTAGAATTTGTATTCACTTAGGTTCACTTAAATTGTCGCCATTAGTCATAGTATAAACATGACGGTCATTTATAAATTCACAAGGTAAAATAAAGCTCAACCAAAACAGCTGTTTATTCTTATTTGAGTTTTTAAAATTAGTTTTACGTACATTATGTATTCATTTTCATAATTGATCACTCGTACGCTTGTTGTATTTTATTGGTTATAAATAAAGTAGAAACTTATTCTAATTTACAAAGTTGATAACACCGAATTATTTTCCACTTTTGGTTCCCAGTTTTATATTTGGATTCACTGTTATCAGGGTTCCACTAACTTTAAAATCTACTTACTTCACAAAAATATTCACATTTTTATTTAATTTCAATGAAATGCGTCAATTTCTCCCTTATTATTCTCCGTTTCAGTTGAACAAGTAGTTTGCTGCAATTTAGTTGGAAGTCAGCGTGAGGTGTATTCAGATTTTGTTAAACGAATGGTACGTGAAGTTTCACTGAAAATGAATAGTGCAGATGATTCGCGTAATGATAAGTCTAGTCTGGCATCTATAACACATTTAAAAAAGCTATGTAATCGTAAGTCCAGAAAATATTTGAAATACAAATTGAAGTGTCTGTTTATGAGTAATACAAAACGGTAATAAATAGCACTAACAACAAAATGATGTATTGAATAATAAAATGAAAATAATTGTTATAATATGAATGTTACTTGTAAACTCCTGAGATTAAAAAAACAATTGACTTCACTTGATTAACGAAGTTTCCTCTGCATGTGTTGGCATCAACGGGGTAATGAGAAAGATAAATCCGGGTCAAAACTCCAACGTAGTGAAAAGTTGCCTAAAAGGATGCTATGACACTGTTACATCCTTCAGTCACAGGTCGTGGCCAATAAAATAGAAGAACATATGATAGAGATAGCGATAACTAGAATTACAACGGTAGCGTGTGTATTAGTACAGTCAAACAATTCTGTCCATTTTTTGTACAATTTGTACAGAGAAACAACAGATGTCGAATACAAATGCGATTGCATGTGGTTTGTTACAAATAAAGAAAAAACATGGTCTTTATTTTGTCATTACAGAATCATTAAATATGCATGTTCCTATATGTTATAATTTTCTCTTGTTACGACCCAGCTGTTACTATTGCTTAGTATTCTTGGACACCAATTCACTCGACAAGTCTTCAAATCAGAACACGGTTAAACAGGGAAGACATCATATTCCAAACAAGGCAGATGGAAGTAAAAAGCACAATAAGAGAAACGTTGGTATATTTATGGTTTTCTACATGAGATGATTCGATAAGAAACAGCCAGTCAGTGTGCATCAACACATTCGTGCACGGGACATGCTTTAATCCAATCTATGTCCCGCTATATATAATACTACCCGGACTGTGAACCATCATTACTAGATCTCACTTTGACCCATTATGAGGATGATGCCAAAAACCTCGATTATATGCCACCCTTAGATAAAAGTGATCATCCAGTTCTAAACTTTGACTTCCACATAGTTGCTATAAACGAGCGCGCGTCAGCCCAACCCAGATCAAACGTCTGGAAAGTAAATATAAGGTATTATGCACTCAGCATCCGAAGTAGATTGGTCAATAGAACGAGAGTCCCTAATTGAAATATCTTGGGATATATTTCAAAATCTATACTTAAAAGTCACTGTACTGCACGTCCCTTGGACCAAACTACATATTTGAGCCGTCAGCGTACGCACCCTATGTCATATCGGCCAGCAGGCCTCCTTGGCTAAAACCCTAGAATCTTGTACCATTGATATATGCTGTGTCTCTAAAAGGCACATACAGGATCCTAGGGTGGTCATTCTTTTTACCTCACCTCGCCATAACAGAGAGCCGAAGACATACACCCTCCGTTTATCTGGCGACCGGACCAACGATGGACTCAAATAAACCATATTGCCATCAGTCGTCGTTGGAGAGGCTCGACAGAAGACTGTCGCTCGTTCTAGAATACCTATTTGGACTTCGATCACTCTATAGTACGAGCACGTATTTGCTTGCGCCTCACTGGACGCAGAAAAGCCACGTTAAGAAGATCCACTGAAATTGAACTGAGTGACGAGGAAGCCGAAAGTAGATTCTAGGAACGACTTAGGTCATACTTAGGCAGTTCTGAAGACGAGGCTGGAGTAGATGTTGCTTGGAAAGATATACGAACAGCTGTTGAAACAGTAACAACATTTATAAGTAATTTAAACTAAAGGGTTACATAAAACCAGTGGATTACTACTACATCTATTGCACTGATAGATTCTCGTGAACAGATCTCATCAGGCACTGAGCACGATGAGGAGCGAAAACAAATCAGATCTAGGTTGACCGAAAGTTTACGGAATGATAGTGAGCAGTTGTGTGCAACGAAATAAAAAAAGATGGAAAAGGCAGTAGTTGCCGTCAAAGGTTGTGGGACCCTGTGGTCAATACATAGGGCCTTTCACTATGTCGATACCAAAACTTTTCTGACTCTTTATACAGTATTCATTCGTCCTAAAGTCGAGTACTACATACAAGCGACTGGCTCCTTCCTAAAACAAGAAAGTGAACTGTTGGTAAATGTTCGAAAAACCGCAACTAAGCTGATCCTCGGAAAGGCAAAGTTCCCATATGATGCTCAAACGGCTGAACCAAACCTATTTCCGTTGTCACAAAGAAGAACCAAAGGCGAACTGATCACAGTTTTTAAATTACTGTGTGACACATTTGCATCCGAAACGCCCTCATTTTTCTTGTCTTCCGAAACAGAGATTTTATGTGAACACTAAAAAGTTCACAAGTCTATAACAAATTACTTGTTAGCTGACTATCGACTTTCCTATCGAATCATCGACGTATGGAATTCATTACTTCAACATGTGATTGAAGCTCCATCTGTCGACTCTTTCCAAAGAAGGATGGGTCAACTGAGAGACTATAATTACCAGGACTAACGCAGGTTACCTAGTCTCCTGTCCTTTCCAAAGCAAACATCACGTAACAAGATAGAAAGTGGTTGGGCATACGTAAAACATGTTCTAACCTTCACTATGAATGAAAATTCACTACTTCAATCGATTTCCCATCTTCATGTAACACATTGAATGTAACCCTTAATATTGCTCACTTTATGGCCATAACATACTTGAACAATGTTTTAATGAAGCCTATGATCAATAATCAATTTTCGTTTGGCAAATATTTTTCAGTTGAATAGTCTGTTGTCAGATTTATCAAGTGTTTCATTTTATTTATGGTGTACTCTTAATTTACTCGATATTTTCTTTTGATATACAATTGCTTTTATAATCAGAAATATTTGCTTTCAATGTTACTATTTTTTAGATCCAGATTTAGTATATGAGAAAATGGCAGCAAATACTGATGGCTTTCATAATGCCCTTAGTTATTTTCCAGCTAATTATCAAGGCTCACTTGAATCTAACGCTTCTGTAAAACCTGAACTATCTGGTTAGCAATCCAATTTCTGCATTATTACTTGATTTTATTAAATTAGCTGTGCTTAGATGGTTGTTTGGTTCATCGAATATTGTAGTTCAATTATTTTTGCTGTTGATTTCTTTATTTTTTTGTGTCGAGTATTCATTTTCAATTATTAACTTTCACATGTATACATTATACCTTCAACAGCGAACAGCAACCAGTGTTTTTAAACTTGTAAGAGAGAACCGACTGAAACACAAGTATGTTTGAGTAAATAAAATATAAATTGGAGTTATACTCCGCAGTTTTCGAAATTTCATGTATTACTTAAATGCAGTCGGTGCAGGGTAACACGAGCTGTCTCTTTTTTCAATTTATAAGAAAGTATACGAATCTGTGGTATCTATAAAAAGTGCTACATCAGGAAACCTCATAAGTGTTTCTTAGTGAATCGAAACTTGCATTCTACTAATCATTTAATAAAAATTGACGATCTCTGGACTTCATTTCATCATGTAGATATTCCCATCCTTACAAACTAATAATATCATTTTAAACAAATCCTATTGTTTCAAACCGAGAAAATGGTCGGTAAACACCAACGTAAACAATAAAGTAATTCCACCAACTGTCATCGAATTGAGGATGAAAAATTCAGGTTTCCGCATTCTCTTGTAGCACTTCATAAAAGTCTATACTTGATTGTGGGTATTGTGTAACTTGAAGGTGAATGAAACCATCGAACAAAAGTAAGCGCCCTTGTGTTGGTTGTCTGAATCGTCTCATTGGTTTTTGAGACTGGAATTAATCAGTCTGTTTTGACATATGTGCATCCTGTGCGCATTGCCTCACTGTTGCCGAGGATTTTAAAGCATCATGAGCGGATTTAGATGGTGTCTATCAGTAGAATCCAGGGCGCGTTTCGCACTAGTTGGGACTCGTCAACCGGATATGTTCGTTAGGTCGACTTGATCGATTGCAGTCCTAAACGCTAGTGGGAAGATTCAAACAACCAATAGGAATGAATTAAAATCCACTCCGTTACATATGCCGGTACCTATCTGAATCCAGTATCTAAGTGGATAATGCAGTGGCGTTTGAAGCGAACGGTTCTACGTTCAAGTCCCAGAGCGGATATCAACACTGTTATGTAGGTACACCAATCTGACTAGTCCCAAGTAGGACGAAATATTCATCCCGGGTTCCTCTGCTGGTCATCATTCAACTCTGCTTAAAAATTAAACTCATGTAAAATGGGCCAGTTGTAGTGAAACGAAAACACTCGATATTCACGGTTGATTCATAAAAGCAAGTATTTTAAATTCATAACAAGATGAATCAGTAACATGGTTGTTCAAAAAATACTCCCAAAATTATTTCTTCAACATTTTTTATTCCTCTAACTGTTCTCGTTAAATCCCTACGTATTTTTTTCCCATTAACTTTCTTTAAACATACAAAGTTGAATAAAATTTTGGAAGACGAAGTAATAAATATTATCCTTAAGATCTGAGTTAAATCATGTGTTTTAGAGGACTAATAGGTTTGTAATATGAATATCAATGCCTCTCATGTGTATTTATAGGGACTTTTATACATGCTTTATACATCAGTGATAATTTTCTAATATTCGTTTGATTCTAGGTAAATTTCAAGTTCTTGACTGTCTTTTGGCCGTAATTAAGTCTACAACGTCTGATAAAGTTGTCCTCATTTCAAACTACACTGAAACATTGGATCTCTTTGAACGTTTGTGCCTTCAAAGAGGGTGAGTTTTGATTTATCTATAGTCCTTATTGTACCCTTTAATACAAAAGACACTTCAAATTAATGCTGGAAAAATATACTAAAAGTATGAACATTTTGAATTTATTTATTATATATTATTTTCCTGATCCCAGTATTGACATCCTTCTACAAGTTAAAGTGGTTTCCTCTTACCTGTTCAACTTATTTTGTTTGGTAACAATTTGATAGTCTTTAAGCTTCTGCATTATTTTGTGCGTTTTGTGTTTTTCTTTATAAATCTCAATGGTATTGAGTTGAAAATTAACATCACTAACTAACTGATTCACTGCGATAAGGTACATTTTACCCCTTGACTTGAATACAAATATCTGTTAGGTATAATTTCATTTGTATTATTGAGGGAATGTTAGTGAACACCCTGTTGATTGTTATCACTAGGTAATAAGTTTGAATAAGATAATTGACGTAGAATATGATCTTACTTATTTGTGCAATAATGATGTGCTTGAGCATAGAATCGTAACAACGTCTTCCTGTATGTCATAGCCCTATCTCATTAGTTTTACTAACTTTTTACGATTTGTGATAAAATATGAAACAAGTTTTGTAAGATGTTGGTCAGGCGTATTTATTCATGACTATTCAACCGTATAAAAGTGATAAAGTCTAGTTCGTATAACATAATATATGCGTCTAGACTCACAATTAAGACTTGTGAACTTCATCTTTAGTGCTAAAACAAGTTATGAACAGTTCGTTAATTTTTGTGATATTGTTACTCACTTGTGGATTTTTTCAGCCGGTACAGTTTTTGTTACTTTATCAAATCATCCACATCCGTCTCTTTACTAAAAAAAGATTAGTTTTTTTAAAGTTTATATTCTATAAAATTGTCTAGTTAACATTATGGAAATTATATTTCCGAGTTTTTGTATTTACAGGTATAATTTTGTACGACTAGACGGTACAATGACAATAAAAAAACGAGCAAAAGTTGTCGAACAGTTTAACAATCCAACTGTAAGTAACTTCTTATCTGATTGCGCTATAATCTTCATAACAAATTGTTCATTATTTGATTGCATTTAAGTCCGTGAACGTAGTTTGTGATAACTTTGAATAAGTATTTGCTTGAGATTTTACTGGTTTAGTAAACAGTTATTATCTTTGTTTAAATTTCCAATTTCAGTGTTGTTTTATAATTTTCCTTTCATCCGATTTCATTCATGATGTGTGAATTAACTTTATTTAAAACAATTGATATTGTATTTCCATTTTGTTAACTTCTTTTAGCTGCAGTTATATAGACTAACATCTTGGGGCTATTTCAGGTCGCTGTTGTCAGTGTCTGCATAGATTGATTGCTTTATATATCGTCAGTTTTAAAGTGCTTTGTAAAGATTAATCACAGAATTATATACATAGAAAGAATTCCCTTCTAGGTGAATTTTATTATTCATTTATAAACATTTAATATGAGGATTAATGCATACTCCTAATTGACAAACAACCAGTGGTTATATGTGATGCTTCCAAAAGTGCTTCTTTTGTTTTTTTCCTATTCTTAATATGAGTGCTTTTAAATGCTGTTCTTCAAACATTGTAGTTTGAAAGTATCATTGGTCACAAATCTTATGCTCTGTTTACTGGTTGTAGTTTTATTCGCAGTGGATTTAGTCTATTATTCGTACCTATTCGATTTGAATTCTTCTTTGGTTTAGTCGATTGTATTTTATTTTGACCGATAACCTAGTTTGCAGGTGTACTTGATTACTAAGATGTTTATGCTAGTTATGTTTCACGCTTATATATTTGCATCTAGCTAACTACTACTAGTATTTGACGACAGATACCTTAGAAATATTGCTCGCAGCTGCTGGGATCACCGGGTAAGTAATAGCGAGGTTAGATGTAGGGTATTAGTGAATAATGATAAATCAATTGATGAGATTGTGAATCTTCATCGACTGAGATGGTCGGGCCACGTGTTACGTATGCCTGAACACCGTTTACCACAACGCGCAATGCTGACTAATGTTGGAGACAGTTGGAAGAAAGTTGAGGGTGGCCAAACCAAAACGTGGCATCAGTGCTTGAAGTCCCTAACTTCTAGTGTGAGCCATGTTGGTAGGTGCAGACTACTTGATTGGAGTCCGCGTGACTATCGCAACCAATGATTGGACACTCTGGTTGACATGACTCTGAATCGATCACAATGGCATAGATGTATACACTCTCTGTCTTCCCTTAAACTAAGAGATTAAAATCGCTTTATATCTTTCTTTCTACGAACTAATTTTTTCTTCATGTACTATATTCTTGTATGCAATTTTTCTTTTATTTATTATCACTATTGAATTAAGTGATTCTATGAATTCGTTGTTGATCTTGTTGTGCTAATGAGGTATGGCAATTTGAACGTATTCATGTATGTGCCTGGTCCTACGTTGTAGCTGATTGATTTTAGCTAACTTAAACTTTTTTGATGTAAATACATTGCTAACTAACTGTCTAATTCACTATCGCATATTTCTAACAACCACATCATTTAGTGAAATTTATTCTTTTTAATGGAGCTGCGTTCCTTAAACTGGTTAGTTTAATAGTGAAACTGTTTTCGCGTTTCTGAACATCTACACGAACTTCCGATAGATAAGAGGTATTATGATTTTCATACGTTTGACTAACAACTTGTTCTGTTGAACTTGAATTTGGTTTTAGGTATCAGTGCCAAGGTTCGATTTGATAGTTTCAAATAAATTGCACATTGAGTAGATAGTTAATAATAAATATATTTTTTTGTCATATCCCAATGAGTATAAAAATTGTATTTCTGACGTTTTGTGACTTAATGTAAATAAATAACTGAAATAAATTTACACAAGTTTAAATAGTACAAAAAAACAATGCAGAATGTTTTTAGTACAATCAAAGTTATAATAGATCTGACTATGTCAATGTTAAGTTATTCTTGGTTAAAGTGAATTTGTATGACTAGTCACTGTATTAATTCCTGCATCAGAATCTGGGTATGAAAAGTGAAAAATCTATACATTTGTAGTATGAAGTAGTGGGGTTCAAATTAGGTGTATGTGTAGATTGTATAGAAAATAAGTAAGGTCAAATTTGGTTGTTTGGATAAACAGTCCAGGTTGGATAAATATTCAAGCCTTCTTTCCTATTGATGGTAGAAATACTAAGCATTATGTGAAACGCTTCGGCTACTCGCATTTCTTTATAGATGAGAAAGCTTTTCTGAATTATTTTGGTATTTTTAATATAATTTTGAAGTTTACTGAAAGTAACATGTACTGCTACTGATGATTTATTCTACAGGATTATTAGGCCTTTTTGTATGACTTAGGTGTTCCCTGTCACGAATCGATATCTCATGGGAAGATTCTCCAGTATATAACACATCACAATCGACACAACCTAATTTGTAGACACAGTTTTGTGGGGAAGTGAACGGGGTCTTATCTTTTATTCTAACTAAAGCGTTTCTTAGAGTGTTAGTTGTCTTATGGAATGCTGTACTTTTGTACGTTTTCAATATCTCTTGTAATTCTTCTGGTTATCATTAGAATTTCTTTTAATTAAACAGTTCAAGAAAGGTAGTTCACTATTTTCGTCTTCCTTTTCAAAAGTGAATTTGATGTGTTCTGAGAGTGTGTTTATGTGTTTTTAAAAAATTTCTAGGAGGTCTTTTTTTAATGACAAACGTGTCGTTTACATATCTGAGGCAGATGCGTGATCTGATAGTGCTGGCAAAAATTAGCGACCCAATGTAGGACATAAATAAATTTGTAACAATAGGCGATACTGGAGATCCCATAGCTACTCCACTCGTTTGTTTATATAAGGCCATTTTAAAAGTGAAAAGTGTTGACGTCACAAGTACAGTTTTTATTGAATTTAGTTTGTTATCCAAAAGATGGTGTAAACTTTACGATTGCACCATATAGTCCAGAGACTGTAGCTCCATGCAAATCACCTTCATCAGCTACAAATCTACTGGACATTAAATCTAATTAATTTAACTGAATGGTTGTTATTTATGCTTTTTTCATTTTCAGTCACGTGATTTTGTCTTTATGTTGAGCAGTAAAGCTGGTGGCTGTGGTCTTAATTTAATTGGTGCTAACCGTCTTGTTATGTTTGATCCTGATTGGAATCCAGCTAATGATGACCAAGCAATGGCACGTGTATGGCGCGATGGTCAGAAGAAACAGTGCTACATTTATCGTCTCATTTCGGTAGGTTTTTATTAACACTCTTGAACTAGTTATTACGTTATTTTATATCGGGTGGAAGATGGTGCACTGCCATTCTAACCACCATTCTGTTGTCATCGAATATTTTAACTGGATGAGTATATTGCTGTAGCATTAGAAGCATATCAGTATAAGCGGTTTCTAATGAATTGTTAAGGTTTGTTTCTTGTATCGCGGACTAACTTTGACTAAACAACTATTGAGAACTACAAAGCGGTGGTTAGCTGTTTCATCCTATTATAGGACTTTTATGCATTTCGCATCTATGGCCTCGTTGGAGATCGTATCCAGGATCTTCGGGTACCTATAAGAAGACCTGAAAGTCTAGCTAAGGTCATTTTGTGACGTAAACTATAAGTATGAGAAGTAGTTGTTTTTATCTGAGACTTTTGCATCTATTCAATTATATCAGTATTCTGTATTGAATATCTTTTCAAATAAAGCTCGTTATTCATTGTTTACTTTCACAATTATCATGGAATTTTAGACAGGTACCATTGAAGAGAAGATGCTTCAACGTCAAGCGCATAAAAAAGCTCTTAGCAGTTGTGTAGTTGATCAACAGGAAGAAGTCGAACGTCACTTTAGTCTCGATGATTTGAGAGAGCTTTTTATGTACCATTCTGAGACGTTATCGGACACTCATGATAGGTTGGTTCAAATAATATTATTTGTAAACTTGGCCTATTTTGTTATTTTTAAATGTATTGTATTCATTGTATTGTGCAGTTTTAACTCTAATTCAATCCGAAATATAGAGAGTGTTGTGGTCCTAGTGTTTACACATATCTAATGTAATCTTTAATAAGTGGTGTACTTAGAATTTGTATAAAGGATATGGTTACTGTTGGACGGCTTCCGAGAACTTCAACGGACCCTCCAGAGGCCCTAAAAGAGCCGGAATGTTTCCATTCAATCAGAACGTGATGGGGCTTTCTAGAATTTCAAACTTTCAAAACCTAATTTTTCATGCAATATATGTTAGAATCTATCTTTTCAGACTTGATCATTTTTGCACACAGAATGTGCTTGAGTATGCTTCTTCTGTTGTGTTAAATTATATTCCTTAATTCATTAGCCGCTATTCATTTTTATGTGTAATCTTCGCCTTTGATTTTTATTTGACCACACAAACCGTTAGTTATTGTTAGTAACCTGATTTTCTTGTGCACCAAAATTTTTCCTTCTAATGTTTATAGTTTATATCAGTACCCGGTTTTTAGACCACCATTGAAACTTTGGAAGCACTGGAATGCTGTTTTCTTTTTATTACTGGACTCTTTAGCGGTGCACATCTATGACTCTGATGTGACCAATGGAGTCCAACCATATTGATATATGGGACAGTTATCTACCACAGGCGATGGATGGGGGTTGTGCTATATCGTGAATTTATTGGAATTGGGTATTAACATTGTTGGACTTCAATTTACTGGTTTAAAGATTAAGCATCTGTGTGTAAGTCCGAGGGTCCCAGGTTCGACCCCTTGTTGTGGGGGGTGCACACTGCTGAAGAGTGCCATCCCAGGAAGCGACGAATGCCCACTGCTTCCGGGTTCTAAACGGTGGTTTAACTAATGCTCAGTTCATGTGAAAACTGTATTCTCCACAAATTACCTATATTAATAGTATCTAATAGACCAACAATGTTTCACCACTATTTGTGATTTCTAATTCTGCATTCCTTTTAAATTAACGATTTGTTATGTCATGCAAACTTCGTTTACATTCTCAATTGGTAGATTTATTTAATTGGTGGCCCGATTATTGATCGTAACTGTAGGTTTCTTGAATGTGTGAGTATGAACAAATGGAACTTTATGTTTTAGGATAAATTAGTTATTGCTAACATTATTGTGAAGTTGTCATGCATTAATTAGCTGTCCAAAAACCAAGTAGTCGAGTATCATGTTCACCTTTGACCCAATGGCTTGATGACGACTACGAAATTTAGTGCTCATAAATGTATTTCAATATTGTTTTAATCGGGAGTATATTAACAATTTTTGTAATCAATATTGCATAGTAGAAAGTAGTTAATATTTTATTTGTGAGATATTTTCTAATCAAAGAATTTCTTGTCAAGTTTATCAATTTCAATATTCCTGAGCTTCTTGCAGTACCGGAAGTACATTTGTTTTTCGAATTATGTTTCAGATTCAAATGCCGTCGTTGTGTCAATTCTGTACAAATAAAGCCTCCACCGGAAGGAACAGACTGTAATTCAGATTTTTCCCAATGGAATCATTGTTACACGAAAAAGACGTTGAGTGATTCAGTCCTGAAAGCAACTTGGGATACTGGGTGCATATCATTTGTATTTTGGCATTATTCCCATGAAGAACAACGTAAAACTGTATAGTATTTTTGTTTTAGTTGGTTGTAACATATGATTGATTTTCTTGATTTTTTCATTGGTTCTCTTATGGTATAATGAATTCAATTTGTAAAATTTTCTTATTTTTGCATTCAATCGGAAGACACCAGGACTCTTTCTGTACTTCTTTTACAATACATGTGTTTTGCTTTTTTCAGCTTTCATAACTTTATCTATTCAAAGAGCAACCCGGGAAAGTTTGCCACACATCGAATGTTGGTTAAGTTGGAATTTCTCTCCGAATATGTGTTGAGGTATTATGACTGCTGACTCTATGCGGTTTAAAAGAGCATGCAAAGCAAATACTAGGGCGCAATGTTCCACGAGCTAGATTATATTACAATTTTTTTCTATGTGAGGAAACTGTATAGGTTAATTATTTGCGTTCTATAGGGCATTTAAAAGGTACGTAGTTAACTACTTGCGATCTTTATGGAACGATTGTCGTAAAAATGGTAGGAGTTTACTTTGACCATATAATCATCACGCGTAAAGAAAAATTTTATACAACAATTTGACTTTGGCTAATTTATTGATGTAATTTTCGTCCTCCAACACAAACAGATGGCTACAATTAGTGCTTTTTGGGATCAGTCATTGGGTGATACTAAAGTCTGCCGGGAATACGAATCGCGTTATCCTCCAAACCTAGATTTATTTCTGGACACAAGATGGTATGGTGTCTTTAACGTGTTAGTAAGTGTAATGTGCTGTAAATGTAAGTCAATCTTGGTCCGTGTAGTTTGATAGCTGGCGTTGTCTACAGCTGTCGTACTCACAATAACATTTAGATTGTTGATGTACAAACGTATTTCAAACCTGCGTCTAGCAAATCTTTTCCTTACTTCACCGATATACTGGAAGTTACCACTTGTTAGGTCATAATCGTATTGCTGCTATGATTGTTGTCTTTCAGTTATCATGTACTAGTAGTATTGTAGCGAACGAGAACACAAGTGGGATCAACTAAATGTATTTCAGTACATTACAGAATATCTTGGTGAAATCTGAGGACTATACAGTAAATACTCCCTTCACAAAATATTAATCAATTGTCTCAGGCTTGATTGTTCCTTCATTTCCACACCAATCACTTTGTCCATTTTCTTTTCAACTTTCTTAACCTTCCGTCACGGCATTTTACTTTCGACTGATGATACACCTTATTATACCTGTCGACATCAGTAGCGCACACTACGTTGTAGCAATTTTAGTGGTGTTACCGACTTCATCTGGTACACCAATTTGGAAACTGTGAGACTGTTTCTATTCGGAACATCGTATGTTACTTCTTAATTGTTGTTTTTTACATATTGTGACATCATTTCACATTTTTGGATTTTTTTCTCGTTCACTGGTATACTTTATAACCATCATGACGGGACAGACTTCCAAGTTCCTCTTTTCAACTGCTTCCGTTTCGGCCTGACAACATAGGAGCTTGGTTCGGCTACGAAGAACCTGACTTCCACAAGTACAGTGTGCCGAACCCACGTGTACAATTCCCTGCAGTGGCGAAAGCACTACCGCACGATTTATATATGAACATCGCAACTTGTATGTTTCATAGTGATGTCTCGGAACCTTACGAAACTTTAAAAAAGGCCATTCTTAAACGTGGAGATCTAACCGACCGACAAAGGTTAGATTAATATTTCAATAACATCAATCTACAACATAGCTCAGCAACAGAAATATTGCTATGAATGCGAGAGTTCATTGGTTGACGGAACTTTGACGATGGCCTATTTAGACAACGTTTCCTGCCTAAGCTTCCCCATCAGATGCATACAGTGCTTGTTTTATCTCAAATCAGCTCTGTAGACGAGCTGGTTACATCTACCGACCGGATTCCGGAGGTCTCCAGCATTCCGAACGCTGAGGTCTATTAAGTCAAAGAAAGGCGTCAAACGACGAGAAATGACACCAGAGAATTCTGTCATACTCTGGTACGTTGTCATAATATTCTTCATGACCGCAGACGTTCCCAAACTCCTCGAAGAGTTCTTTGCGAAAACGATTTGTCTCTAGATCATGTGGAACAGGTAACACTGATTGGTGCTTCTATCATAATCAGTATGGAAAATCTAAATATTGAAGAAAATGTTCCGTGATATACCAATAGCTTTTCAAATATAAGTTCTAAACTCTCCACGTCTGACTTGTGATTTGACTGGGGTGGCATATACTGACTATAAATACATTACTGGTTAATGAATTATCAAACTCTTAATACTTGTGGCATGTTTATGCATTTCCCAACATAGTTTTTGATGATTTAAATTTTTTAAAAATCATACGTTTAAGTGAGCTTTCTGAATCGCATTATCATAGTACATATTTTTGCCACTGGCTACCTTCAGAAGTATTTCGATGACCTAATGAATAAAACTTCGAAGGGCTACTTAAGCGCTACATTGTAGCGTTCAGATGTTTGCTTACTCCCTGACGACGCTAGGCATAACTGTACCTTTCGTGCATCAGTCCGATTCATTTTCTAGAATATGTTAATCTTGTGGCTTATAAATCTGCCAAAAGAAAGCGATATTAATAGCCCGTCGGGAGTTATTATCGTCTGAGGCAGATACATAATAATTATAAACCTAGGGAAAGCTAGTACCTCCACTCAGTCTACTTCTGGCATAAAGGTATGACAAAATCGCATTAAAACGACAAAAATATAAAGGATAAGTCTCTATCGAAACCCTGAGCAATACTTGGGAAAAGAAAAACAATAAGACAAAAATTAACAACAGGTAAACATAGGCCGAGAAAGTTAAAGCACAAGCTGAGTACGCAGAAGCAAACGAACAAGTGAAGAAGATCACTAAAGCCGACAAGCAGAAATACGTGGAAGAACTAGTAATGACAGTGGAAATGGGTGCAAGAGAAGGAAATATGAGACAACTATGTGATACAACGAAGAGACTTGCAGTGAGATATAGTAAACTAGAGAGATCGGTCAAGGACAATGAAGGCAAGCCAATCACTGAGATTCAAGAACAGAGGGACCGGTGTGTAGAATACTTTGAAGAATTCTTGAATAGACCATCTCTATTGAATTTATTGGACATCGAAGGAGCACATATAGACCGTCTCATAGATATCACTTCACCAACTATCGAAGAAATCATGATGACCATCAGACAAATCAACAGCATGCTAGCAGCAGGACCTGACAACATACGAGCTGAAGCTCTGAAGACGGACATAAGGGTAACTGCGAAAATGCTTCACCTTCTATCCAGGAGGATTTTGGAGGACGAAAATGTGGCTATGGACCTGAAAGAAGGACACTTCATCAAGGTACTAAAGGAAGAAAATTTCTGCGGGTGCAAGAACCAAACAGGTTTCACACCATTATCGGTATCTAGAAAAGTTTTTAACAGGGTGTTGTTGAACTGGATGAAAGACTTAATAGACTCATAGCTTGGAGAATAACAGGCTGAAATTAGTAATGATTGTGTGAACGTCGAATCACAGCACTACGGAATAATGTTGAGTAATCGGTCTAATGGGACTCGTCACTGTACATCAAATTAATTAAGTATGAAGTGCCATTTGACAGCGTGGATTGGAGGAATTTATGGAGACTTCTTTAACACTATACTGCACTTGAAAAGACCGTTATCATCATACGGAATTCATACACTACAAAGTCGTGAAAGGATGACAGCTGACAGATAAATTCTAAGTAAGGATGGGAGTCAGACAAAGCCGATTACTCTCCTTCTTCATTTCTTTCCGGAAGTCTACAAGGTTATGAAGACCTCGACATCGGAGAAAAAACACGGAATACAATGGACAGCTCGGAATCAGTCAGACGATTTGGACTTCGCAGATTACCAGGCCCTTCTATCCCATACACACGAATAAATGCGGATGAAGACAATTACTGTAGCAACAGCCTGTGAATCAGTAGGCCACAACATACACAAAGCAAGAAGCAAGATCCTCTAATACAACACGAAGAACACCAACCCAATCACACTTCATAGACAAACTCTGGGAGGCAACATCAATGAACAAGGAGGATCTAAAGCAGACATAAAGGCGAGGATTAGCAAAGCGAGGACAACATTCTCACAGTTGAAGAACATATGAAACTCAAACCAACTTTCAAACAGTATGAACTTCCGAATCTTCCGTCAAGCAACTCCTACTATATGGAGCTCAAACGTGGAAACCTGGCACATCCATCATCAGGAAAGTGCAAGCATTTATAAATAGTTGTCCTCGCAAGATACTCGATATCTGTTACCCGATACCATCAGCAACAACCTACTGTGGGAGAAGACAAGCCAACTTCCAGCTAAAGAGGAAATTCGGAAGAGGTGTTATAAGTGGATACGAAATATATCACGGAGATCATCAAACTGATTTACAAGGCAAGCGCTAACTTGGAATCCTGAAGGGGAACGGAAAAGAGGAAGACCAAAGAATACACTGCACTGAGAATTGGAAGCAAACATCAAATGATTTAATGACAACTGTAAAGATGTGGGAAGGCTTGGATGAAGTATGCTGGTGGGGAGCCTATGGTCCACCACGAGGAGTGACAGGCATTAGTAATTAAGTATGATGGTATCTTAACGTTTTGCACAACTTTGGTAGCTTCAACAACAGCGCGGTTTTTTTGACTTTATGTGAATTATTTACACCGACGAAGATTCACGCCATTATCATAGACATGAGCTGACGGCTGTACACCCAATGTACACAGCCTGTGCTCTTCCTGATGAACAAATGAGCAGTACAAACCGTTTATCATGGCTGCAATTAAACGCAACGCAATTTCGTAAATGTGCCCTTCAGCCTAGCAACCAATCAGAATGAGGCGGGAATTATTATATCCGCCATCTTTGTAGGCAATGGCGGCCGGCTTTCTTCATTCTGTGCTTCTTTCAGCTATTTCTTTTGTGTGGTTATGTGATTTAATGTTTCAGCGTGCTTAAATGCAAAAGTTAATGTGATTTTCTAAATGTTGGAGCGAAATTTTCTTCTGATTTAGCTTTGTTTTCTGGGTTTTTGCTGCTGCTAATCAAGTCAATGTATTTCTTCAGCCAAGCTGGCTAGTCTTATGTTTTATAATGGTAATCGGTTTTGTTTTGACTTGTTTTTTAGATATCCAAAGCCTGAGTTTGTTTCTCTAGCTAAAATAATTG